TATCTGTCACATCAGGATAACGTCAAAAAATCCAGAAATTCTAATAGCTGGGCAGAAAAATCAGTCCAGGATCAGACCTCAGCCAAAGATGAGGATTCCACTCTGGAAGTGGAAGATGAATTCTTCGGAAGTCAGATAATCGGTTCAGCCGTTGGGAGCAATGAACCCAGCGTCGCCAATCCAATGCAGACTGAGCAGTCCAGATGGCGGCGAGCTCCTAGAAACTTTATGAAGTTCGGGGATTTCTCAGGGCCCGGGGATGATGCAGAGCCACTGGTCGACTACGAGATTGGCGTTTTTGAGGAGAAAAAGTTTCAGGTGACTATATTTCACATTAGTCCCCTCATTATTCTCAAATTGTTGTCAAACCAAGCATATTTGATTCGTGCTCTGATGCCGGTCACACTGCAGACGAAAGCATAGCACGAGTTCATTGGAGTCGCAGGACGGTAAGCCGAGGACCTCTTCGCAAAATCCAACAGGTTTCATTCCTCAATAATCTTCCTTCGGTTTCCAGTAATACTAATTTACAAATTTCTCTAACTCAGCTTTCCCTGCAAAATGCAAGTTCGAGTCACAATAGCTCAGCAAGCTATCCTTAAAACCCAGCTTCTCTTTATATTTACAAGGATTTTCCATAGCCTTCCTAACTCTTGATCGTGGTGATTAACGTCTGCTAAGTGCAATCTCCTTATTATTCCATAGCCCCTATCTTAACAGTATAAATAGGCTAAGAGAATAAACTAAGAAGGAAGCTCACAATTATGGGTTTCCTTTACATATCCCTACTCAATTTCCTCTCTGCTTTACGAAGTAAGACATCTAAAAAGGGCAACGTATTGTCATTTTCTAACTCCATAGTTAATTAATTCATCCTATAAAACCTATTCATTAACCTAAGGAAATATTCCAGACTCTCTTTGCCATGTTGCCACATATCAAAATAGTCATTCATATATCTGGCTAATAGTTTCAAAACTAGGAATGCTTCTTTAAAAAGCTGGACCTCTAAAAATCACACCTTATTCCGAAACAATTAGACCAGTGATTCCCAAACTGTGCGCCGCGACGCTCTGGGGTGCTGCGGCCTCTTTACAGGGGCACCGCGAAATATTGTAAAAGCTTCAATTTGAGAAAATGTGCAGTGATTTGCGGGCTCATCTATCACATTAATTATTAAATATTAAATTAATGTTAATAAAGTATAAAAAAATAATGAAGATACACGAGTTTTATTTATTTTTATCTCTTACCTACAAATAGTCATACTTAGGGTAGGGCGCCATTGAAAAATTTTAATTGAAAAAGGGTGCCGCGACTAGGAAAAGTTTGGGAACCACTGCATTAGACGGATATATGGATGACTACTTTGCCATTTAGCAGCATGACAAAGGGAGTCTGGAAGTTTTTATTAGGCTAATGGTTAGATTTAATAGGATGACTAAATTGACTTTGGAGTAAGCAAAGGATGGTAGGGATGTATATAGGAAACCCATGAATGCGGATTTCTCTCTTAGTTTCTTCTCTAAGCATACTTATAGTATAGGGCTTATGGAATCAATGATAGTAACTGGGTTGTGCCTAATAGACGTAAATCACTAGGATCAAAGGTTTGTAAAGCCAAGAAAATATCCTTGTTGTGAACATTTAGCCATTATATTAATTGTTATTAATTTCACTATCGGAAAAGATAGGCGAATCACGGAGGAAATGGAACGTCAGGTCAAGGTATAAAGACAGACTAACACTTTCCTAGGTCATGCCTTCTCTTAGAAAATCTTCAGACCCCCTCTGTAGATCAGGTTGTTTTAAGGTTTTGTGCTCATGTGGTAATGCTTATAAGAGGTAGACTTGTCGACCCATGCATAACAGGTTATCACAAAACAAAACCGCCTGCAAGAGTTTCTGTGTTCAGAAATCGAAGGTTGCTGAGCATATGGTCACTACAGGGCACCATATAGTATGATCTAAAACCTAACATTTTGCCGAAAACGGAGACATCACAGCTAAGTGGAAGATTAGGGAGTCAAGTGAAATTTAAAAAACACAGAACATTCTGAATAAGATGAACACATCCGCAAGCCTTAAACAAGCATCAGTATTGCAAGATCATACGCTAGTTTATTTACATAATAGAAAACTGTGGCCACATCCTGTCTCCTTTTATAAAGCAAATTCGTCTACATCCATGTAGAAAAGACAAAGAAGCCGATAAAATCGTGTGATGCAGCATTAAAATCGCAAAATTAGGTATAAGAAGTAGATGGGATTTCAGCTTGACACCTTTTGGGTTTTGTGTTTTTGGTGGTTGTTCGTATATGATGATTTCTGACGGTGATTATGTCCGTCATATAACTGACGAAAGCTTAGCGCTGATTCAGCGAGGTCGTAGAACGGTGAGCCGATGATTTCTTCGCAAAATCCTATATTCATAGGTCCAAGGCAATGCTTCTTCGGCAAATTTATGAATCACTTCTAATCGTCTTTTCAAATGAGATTAAATGTATGCCAGCTTCAGTGCAAATATTACCTTATTCTTTAAAACTTTCTTCACTGATATTTCTTTGCATGTTTCCACCTGAAATAAGGCATGCGCGATATTACATATATAATCACTTATTTGTTTATTTAAACCTATGCTTGCACCAGCATCATTTACAAATCCACAAGCAAATTATGCAATACTTCACATAGGCAACTATGCGATTACACCTATAGCGTCACTTATACACACATGCTTATTTATATAAGCAATAATCCTTCTCAAAGCTTTCCATTCCACTTGCATGCATTTTTATGCAATCGTTAATATATATAAAATGTATGTTTATTTCTTCAGATTCGTCTTTTGATCCCGGGTCCAGTTGAAGAGCCGGATTACGAGAAAGCATTTCGACTGACCATTGATGACGCCAAAAGTAGGCTGGATATCCGTGTCAAACGGGCCATGCAGCCACCTGAAGAAATGGCACTAAGAAGACAATATGAACGTCAAACAGGTTCGTCGCCAAGCTGATGATCACTTAGCTGCTGCCCCAAATTGTATTTATTTATTAATATTTTTTATTTTTTAATATTTCTTTGTGCTTATTAATACACGTTAATGGGGCATTATTACAGGTGATATTGATTCCAACTACTCGATAAATTAGTTTAATCAAGCTTGTAATTCCGTGTCCAAATCCAGCATCTATGGATTCCAATAGGGATATCTTTCTAGAGTCCTTTTAATTTCACGTTTCATACAAATTAATGTGTATACTTATTTTTATACGATGATTCTGTCTATCTTCGCTGCATTTTCCTATACAATACTCTGAGCTAAAAGGCCATAATAGAGCTCTGAGTGAATCATGATACTCAATGTAGGCCAGCAAATACTTATGGCAGAAGTAGCTTATATGCGGAACTTAAGAAGATAGGTAAGCAACCTTAATAGCGAAGCATCTTTTGAGGCTACATAGTAGTCATGGCGGTTCATGCAAGAAGTTATCCCAATTTTATTGCATCCACTCATTCG